AGATACGCAGCAATGCACACAAAACCGTTCAAAAAACCAGGAATCTTTGTTTAAAACGTGTTTTTAACTGTAAACAAATGTATAGATATAAGGTTTTAAACATACATTTGATAATTTCTTTGTAAACATCATTCATACTAGTAGTAATCATTATTAAAGAACAAAATAACTATAGTAAAATTGGTTACATTTTTTTTTCCTATAGAGATTAATATGAACAATTTATTTTCATATATATATTAGAAATTAATAGGAACTATACAATAACTTTCCTTACGTACGATTCGTTTTGATAAAATCATTTCAAACTGTTACCATCCGGTTTTTATAATAATAGCAATGTTTGTTTTCGTCCACATAATTTAAGCTGTCTACTAAAGACGATTATTGTGCTACGGTGTTTTTATGAATATAAAACATAATATCCCTAATATTATTCGGTGTGTATAATAAAAGCATATAAACCCACACGTAGACACTTTATTTGATAGTATTATTATTATTATTGTTAAATTATAGTTTTATATTGGCATTTCGCGACCGTAAGAGTCTTAAATCACTATTTTTTTTTATTTTTTTTTTTTCTTAGTATATATTATAGTATAGTACACGGTAATTTTGTTTTAAAGTTGTATTAACTGTCCGCGGTCACTTAACATAATCGCTTAAAACGATCCCGATGATTTTACGAGGTGTTAAAACGAATAGAAGCAATTATTATGTATACTCGTATAGGTGCCTGTATAGACGAACGGGCCGAGTGTCGTTAATTTTTTATGCTCATCGTATAGGTTGTGTCTTGTGTTATTCCTATTCCGATATAAGTATATACCTACATCGAAATGTTTATAAGAATATAAGGACAATAAAATATAATACATAAGTACGACTGTCAAGAATAATTACAATCCGCGGGACAATTACGAATTTTGTAAATTGTTTTTTAAATGTTCAATTTTACACGGCCAATGTTTATACATTATCAATTTATATATTTAATTGTCAGAATGTACATACATTAGTATAAAAACTTGCTGGTTTTACTATGACGCGCACTTTTTTTTTCTATCTTTTAATAATTTTTCGCCAGACATTTTTTTCCGATCAAAGCACGACAAGAATGTTTTTTGAAGAATTTGCAGAGATCCAGACGGTACATGAAAATTGAAGAATGTCGTTTTTTGATTTACTCTGTAGTTTTTTCATTAACTGAGGAAATCGACGAGAAAATACGTACGAAAAACGGTTTCATAATATTCGATTTTTTTTTTTTTAGTGCGGGTGATTCGGTTAGAAATAGACGTTAGCACCTGAAATTTTCATAAACTACCTAATCTATACTGGTTTATTATAGAAGCGGTAAAATGTTCGTAGTATTCTGGAAATGTTTGAGCTGTTAATAAGCTTAGACGTTTCTGAGATTTTTAAACATTTTATTTTATTTTATTTTGTTGATAAATCTAGTGATTTATTGATTTAAAACATATTATGTATAATAACCGATCTTCGCTCAGAATCGCGTATTTCGTTTTAACAGTGACTTATACCGTTACGTACAGACATAAATTTAATAACTCTGTATACCTAATAATAATTCTACGGTCCCGAATTCCCAACTACAACAGTGGCACACTCATCCGCAGTCATCAACACTATCACTTATCAGCCTTTTTATATCGCGAATATTTTATTTTGCCGTAGTTTTCGACACAAAAACGAAAGTTTTGTGTACACGGCAATATTATTTTGCAGTAAAATACACGCGTGTGCCGTAATATATGCGTGTACACTGTACATATATTGTAATAATGTAGTAATGTTTCGTTTCGAACGAAATAAAATATTAATGGTTTTTACCAGTTCTTCGGAAATCATATTTTTCGCAATACGGATATGTTAGTCAACAAAATACACAACGCCAATGCAAAGCGCACCTCACCTTTCCAACAAGTTCTAAGAACAATACAATATACTGAACACGTCTTGGAAGACGGGCGTGTTGCTCGCGGTCACAGCAATCCGTTCCGTTTGAGTTTACGACCATAAAAAATCGGATTTCGGAAAATACTAAACGTCCACGGTCTCGTAGTATATATTTCGCTAATTTAGGTATTTAGGTGTCTTTTTCTATACATACGAGATGAATCGTTATCTATTTTCACACTTTAGGGACCTCCGCAGACAATTTGTTTTCACTGTCTGCCACGCGTAATGTCTAGCAGCAAATGCGCACAGCACTTCAACGATTGCGACTCTCTGATTGAGTTTATGGCAAAGGAACCTGTATTAGATGTTTGTTTTATTAGTAATAATTTTTTTTTTTTTTTTTTAGAATTTTCATTTTTATCGTTAATACAAATTCGTGTTTTATTTTAACTTTAATTTAACTCGGTTAACATCATTTTTTGAGAAATGAAAATGTTTGAAAAAATCAGTCGGCCATAGTAAGCAGTACTCTTTCTTATTAAATGCAGTACAATCGATGTTCTTTTGTTCGGAACTTTACCAGAGGGTCCTAAATCTTTAAAGCTCGGAATTTGTATGTCGCAGCTATATTACGAGTGAGACAAACAAAATAAACAAATCAGGTACGCCGTCTAATAAGACCGAAAAGCATATCGAATTTCGCTTTGCCCCTTCTTCAGCAGTGTTCCTTTGATGATTTGACTAGGAAGTAATTCTTTATAGTCGTCGAGTATGCAGGTGATGCACTATGATTTTGTTTTTTTACCATTTCGCGTGATCGATTTCATTGGTTTTGCTCTGTACCTACGTTTTTTATCAATCGTGCCATACATTTTAGACTTTAAAAATACGATTTATGTATATTATATAATTACACCGGAGTCTTATTATTTTATATGATGTATTGGAAAAAAAAAAATGTAAAATGAGTGTGCACGCAATAATATATCAAACTTATATGGCACAATATAGTGACGACACAGATTTTCGTAAATGGTACGATGATACATGGTATTCTCAACCGGAATTTCTACTGTTATATATTATTTCATGCAATTTATTTAGACAGGTACAGAGTTAACTGTTTAGGTTAATATCTGTTGGGCACAAGGGAGATGGCAGTCGTGCAGGATAATAGAAAAGTGAAAAAACTGTTTAATACTTACTCTATATAAGATTGTCTATTTTATATTCAATCTGTATATACAGGCAATAAATATCGGTATTGTCTCTGTATAATATATTATGGATACCTAACCTATAACTCCGAGAGTATTCGTACGTTATTTATTTTGAATATTATTGACGGTACGTACATTTCTCGATAAAATTATAATATAACAAAATATTTTTAAAAAAAAACGGTCACTCGGGCAAAACGTTTTATTATTTTTTTTTTCCGCATACCTATGTATACACTCGATATTCGCGAGCTTATATTATGCGTATAGGTACAGAGGGCGGCTGCAAAATCATATACCTACATATTATCGTCGGGGGACGGTCGTTCGTGGAGAGGACCGCCGGTACAAAAATGCATCGGTGAAAAACATCGTTCGGACTCGCGCGGGACGAATCGATTATAATATAGCGTATGTTGTCGAACGGAATGCGAACTTATCGTTTCGGTACCCGTGTATAACACATACGTGCATGGAAACCGCGTATTATTATTACCTAATATAGCGTCACGTGTGTGTTATAATGGTCGTGACCACGCCTCCGTAGTACCTATACCGGCCGTTCGGGGGGGGAGGGTAGGGCGACCGGTTCGCCCTTCGTGTACACCTATACCGGTATTATACATTTTCATAATCGACGACGGGCATTATACATTATTGGTATATACCAGGGATGGCAAATAGGATCTTTTCAACGTGCCAATTTAAGGCATAATTAAAAAAAATTTTCAGCCGTGCCTGGAATTATTTTTATTAACACAGAAAAATATAAATGAAAAATTAATGATTATCATGTGGAAAATTGTGTAAAAATGGTAATAATACGTATAAAAAAATGATTTAATTATTATTATTTGTTGGAAATCTTTCGCTTCATATTGGTTGTAAGCTTTTTTAAGTCTGGTTGATACGATGTTGATTGCAAGGAAATACATGCTGCCGAATCTTCCTCCGTTAATCTGTTCCTGGCCTTTGAAAGTGTATGATTTAATATTGAAATGATACTCGCCTCGATGAATTATACAGTGAAGAAACGTTAGGATTTCGTGGTAAATTTTTTTCTGAAGAATCGATATTGTCCCTTTATGTATTCCTGTCATACTTCTGGCTCCATCAGTTGCTATGGAAACGATTTTATTTAAATTTATTCCATTGTCTTCCCGGAATTTTTGCACAGCATTTGCTGTATCTTCCCCACGAGTTTGTCCAGAGGGTGGTAGCAACCCTAGCAGTTCTTCTTTTGGACCTTGGGACGACATATATCCGACGAAAAGGAAAACTTGTTACATCTGGCTCCATCAGTTGCTATGGAAACGATTTTATTTAAATTAATTCCATTGTCTTCCCGGAATTTTTGCACAGCATTTGCTGTATCTTCCCCACGAGTTTGTCCAGAGGGTGGTAGCAACCCTAGCAGTTCTTATTTTGGACCTTGGCACGACATATATCCGACGAAAAGGAAAACTTGTGCCGTGTCTTTTATGTCACAAGACTCATCTATAGCAAGTGATAAGGCAGAAGCTACTTGAATGTCTCACTTGCATATGTGTTACATTCGAAGACATTCTTGCAGTTCTATCATAATTGAATTTTAACAACTTGACTGCCATGAGAGCCAAATTTGAATCTCAGTAGATTTTACTATAGTGCCACGATATTTTATTTGAACTTGCCAAAATAACAAAGATATCTAATTTTACTAGAGATTTTTGAATCTTTGTAAAGCCTTTGAGTAGTTATAAATTAATTATTGTAGGTACTTACTGTATCTTGAGTATTTATAGTTGTCTGGCATTCGTAAACTGGTGCCAGAAAAGACTCCATATATTCATAAGCAAACCATAATATTGGCTTTTAAATACCATTTACATCGGCTCCTGATCTGGTTGAAGCTTTTTTCTTTTTTTTACGCAAATAGCCCCCGACGGAAATATTTCTAATTTCACCACATAGTCCAGCATCGGCACCGTCGACGTACATTTCTTTTGTGACGTGCCCGTCTGTACAAAAATATCCAATGATGTCGGCCCAGTCAATGGTTGACAAATCGCACGCAAAACTGCGTCTACGAACGTGCTTGCGTTGCGTCGATACTTTCGGAAATACGAACATCGTTGGAGCCAGGCGCAGGGGCAAGTTTGGTTTGCCTGGTGACAGGCGTGTGCGACGTGGATTTGGTCGTCGTGTTCACAGACGAGAATGAACTGTCTGTTGATGATGTATTTGAGATGCAACCCGAATTCTTTAATACAAGAAACAACTCCATCGCGTCCAGGTGGCACAACGACGTTGCTGACGTAGACGTCGCTCCCTGACCAATTGCGATTAGCGAGGTAATCGGCAATTCGTCGTATGACGTCCGTATGCCTCGCCCCAGGAACTTATAACTGAATAACGGACGTGCTGGCCGTGATATATTCTGGAAAAACCACGGAGGTATATAACAAATGATGTCATTAATTAGCTCATTACCGGGAATCTTTTAATACAAGAAACAACTCCATCGCGTCCAGGTGGCACAACGACGTTGCTGACGTAGACGTCGCTCCCTGACCAATTGCGATTAGCGAGGTAATCGGCATTTCGTCGTATGACGTCCGTATGCCTCGCCCCAGGTACTTGTAACTGAATAACGGACGTGCTGGCCGTGATATATTCTGGAAAAACCACGGAGTTATATAACAAATGATAGCTGGCGACAGCGATGGAGGACATGGTGACCACGGTCTTCCAGAACCTGAAAACTCAATTTACGACCACGTTGACGGTCTTGCGGCAAGGCATACGACGAATTGCCGATTAAGTGTTTGTAATCCAAGTCAGGTTTTTCGGGCCACACAAGCATTATGCGATTTTTTGGAAAAAACGGAAGCCGAACTAAAGAACGACAAAAAAAAAGAAAAAAAGAGGTCTATCCCGGTAATGACGAACCAAGCCAAAGTCGGTATAGAACGGAACGAGAATTAAACCCAGCTAAATTTGGAATTTCCTTGGATCAACCAACAATTCAAAAACCAAAAAACCAAAAAACGATAAAATAGATGTCCACGCCGATCAAGACCAAGAGACCAAGAC